CGAATCGAAAAATCATCCCCCAAGAATAATTACTTCGCAATGCCCACTCACCAGTAAAACACACGATCTGAATTTAAATGAAGATCCAACAGAAGATCTTTGAGACGTTTCCATGTGATCCTGCTGTTTTCTTCTCGATGGTGTTCCATCCTTGTGGCTGCGACGCTTAGGTCGTTCGATGGCCGAATGTCCACTGCGGGAGAACGTTTGTAAGCAGAGAGCCGAGTACGGCAGCATGCATGTGACCAACGCTGAAAGTAATCTGCCACAATTATATAACGTTCGGTCAGGAGCTTCGCTTGCACGATCGCGGCTGATGCCATCGGGTGGATGAGGAGAAGCGTGGACGTCGGTCACCCCTCCTATTGTCTTCGTGACTGCTCGTTTACGACGGTTCTTCGACGCTTGTTCCACTCGAGGATCCTCGATCACTATGTGAACGATCCTTCAAAAAGATCTTCACCACAGGTGGTGATCTCTTGCATGCAGGTGTTGTATTTTTAGCAGAGAGAATATCATCGTTGGCTGAAGCTGTTCGATCGAGAATTTTTTCCCCATTCATCTTGGAATTATTTGATTGTGCATGGAGAAGTGGCGTGATTTATACGAGATGATTAGCATAATTGTGAACTACGCGACGAGAATGTCCAGGAGGAGATCTGACTGCAGTGATTCTCATAATTAAATAATTCTCATAATTAAACGCGGTTCGTTGTTTCTTCTGTCATTTCTTGATCCTTCGCTTCTTAAAAAAAAACATCACGCATCACATCCAAGTATGCTAATAAAATAGCACAAGCACGACACTATGGTCTGCAAATAGAGTAATTCTTGTCGAATCGGATAAGTAGTTCATGAGATGCTTAATTCCTGTGATTCGTGCCGTACGTAGAATGTCGTCGTCATTCGAAAGCCAGCGCAAACAAAACGTTGAAACTACCGTACGATTTATTCCTGTTTCAACAGAAATCGTTCAATGATCACTTTGCATCATGTTTATACTCGATTTACGCCAACAGCTTGGTGCTAATTCCAACTGACCCACTTCTTCTATTAATTAACGCTTTTCTTCGAAAGTTGTCGGTTGTACGATTAAAAAATCTCCACGGCACTGTAAATTGAGAAAAAAGGAGAAACTTGCAACGTGTAAACAAAAGTGTAAAAATATTTTACACTGGATTACAGCATTATATATCGATGGCGTGAGTCTTTTGCCACACTTGGTAATAACTTCGTACTCTTCACGGTTCGTGCGTAGATCAAGGAAACAGGGTTGACGAAAATAGTGCATTGGATCCGACTTATTAAGTTTCTCATAACGAGCAGCAGTTCTCTTCTTTTGGACCGTTATTCCTATAGTGCGCAATTAGCTGAGGCTCCAGCGACTCGTTCGGCCCCATCGAACGATCGCTGAAAAAGTAAATTACCATTTGCAATCACAGAAGAAGTATGTTTCTTAAGGATTACCTGTTTCCCGTGCAAATTATTTCAATATCATTATAAGACTTTGTCGTCTAATAATAATAGAGGATACAATCGTGACGACGATAGGAAATAGTAAAAAAGTTAAAAGTATCGAAGAATTCGAAATATTTTTGATACTCTCTACTGTTATCACATAGTTTCTATCAATATTATCAAATTACAATAACGACAAAAGCGAAATAAGAATATTTTCATTCACGAATGACAATAGATCCAGCATTCGAACAATCACAATCAATCGAATACCGATCTGTTCGAGATCGCTATATTCTTTCTCCGATTTTCACTTATAATTCACTTCCTTCTCGAACGTTCTAGACAAAAGAATAGAGAGACCATTGCCAAGAAAAAGGATTAAAAATGGTCCCAAACGTTACACGTTGTTCAATAGCAATTTCGTCCAGGTAACGTACAACAAGGAATCGCGATTACAAGATTGACGAGAAGGTAGGGAGAGTGGTCGAAGTGAATGGCTTTCTCGTTGGATCCGTGGATCTTCAGTATTTCTGGTTCCAGTCGGACCGATGGATGGTCTCTTCTCGGTGTGCTATTTGTTACATCGGCTGAATCGGTCTCCTCAATGTTCAATGTTCGATCGTAGTTAAGAAATTTAGCAACGGAACGAAAAATTCAGTGCTCGAACCTGCAGGACGTGTTCCTTTTATTTTTTTTTTTTTTTTTTGCCTGTGCGGAAACTGTGTGAGTAAAATTCGAATAATCTTCATTTGCTTCCAATTTAAAATTCGATTTGAACACACTTCGAAACAAAAATCGAGGATGAATTATTATCTGAAATTCTAAATAACGCGTAAATTAAATACGATCGATTGGAAGAATTTAGAATAATTTAAAGATGTTGTTCAATTGATGTAGTGTTTTTAAGAATTTTCGATTTAAATATACGAATTGAAGGTTGAATTAGTCAAACGATATTAATCAAAAAGGCAGCAGTTGGGTTTTCGTTCTCCGTTTAGGACTCTGTTGAATAATTATCGTTCACGCTGCGCGGCGTTTCCACTTCTTTTCTCTTTACGTTCCTATGAACGATCTCGGGAAGATCTATGCACCGCGATCTTGATGTATTCCGACGTTGAACGTCAGTTTATTTTTTCAAATCTGATAAAACGCACGTTCCACGAACGGTGTCAACGATCGATGTTAAGATAGAGAAGAAAACAGGCTGTCTTCTGAATTTCGGCCAACAACTGAATCCATAATGGATTAACGGGTTTTAGAAAGTTTCACGAATTATCGATGACCTGTGACATTTGCATATTCTGATCATTTGCAATGATCGTTGTTAAATACTGGTAATAAAAAAAGAGATTGACATTTCGTTTAAATCCGCGGAAGAATCATCGAAATATCTTTGCCTTATCTCGAATAAAAAATTACCACACGATCGTTTTCCTTATTTAATTCAGTTTGAAAAAAAAAAAAAAAAAAAAAAGAAAAAGAATGATTGGATTCAGAGATGACCCTGAATTCTCGACGAAGAGCAGTGTACACGTGGGCTGATTTTTAAGTGTGGCCACTCTCTCCGGACGACTTTTCAGTCCTGAACAACATTTCGATAGTTTTCTCTTCAATGATACATTGTCTCTTTTTCATCGAGTTCCGAGAGCATGCATCAAACATTCCGTTTGAAAGATCGTCTTTGATATACGGCTAATATTCCACGATCCAGCATTTATGCCTCGTGGCTCTTATACCGATGCCTCAATGTCCCGATTCATAATTTGCCGGCTCTTGCCACGCGAAAGAAATATCCTCGATGTTTTGCGGATCTACGATTTCTTTCCCATGTATGAAAGATTCACGAGTTTCTGGCTGAAATCGTTAGATGTCTTAGAATTTTAATTTTAACAAGGGGTAATGATGATACCGTAACAAATCTTAACAGCATAGCAAGGGAAATGATTAATGGAAACGTTTCGTGTCAACGTGACTACATTCACCTTGACCGAAGAAAGTGTTACACCGGTTTTTAACCCGTGCTGGTCGATTCATGAATGTACAACCATACCCAGTGCGTCTACCTTTTCTCGCCTCTGTCGATTTTTTGATTGGGTCTCAATCCCATTCGAATTGAGAATGTAATACGTACATAGTAATAAAAGTGCGACACTGTTCGTTCTTTCCGCACGAAAGTAAAAATGCTCTTGGAAAGTAGAGTAGATAACAGAAGAAAGGATGTCAGCTGATAATCATTCTAAACGCGTAATAACATTACAGTGTGAACAGTTTTCGCATAACTAGTTTCCTTCCCCTACTTGGTTAACGACGGTAAGTGGGACGTTTCGAGAGCAAACGTTCAAAGTAGTTTTTTACATTTATTGATCCTTCTGATCGCAAAGAACACAAATTGAAACTGTCAGTCAACAAACCGCTCCCTAAAGTTTCTGTATCGAATTTTATTCGAAGGATTATTTTAGAACGTAAAAATTCGAGTTTGACAGAAGGATTAGTAGGTCTTTCATTAATTCCAGAACGATGAGCGCGACGATGATCTTGTTGATCCTCGTGATAGGATTAACCAACGGTCAATTGAACTTCGAGGGTAACCCGTTGACGGAGAACACGGAGTACGCCGCCGTGGAGTCACGATTCTCCGAAAAAACAGCGAGACGAGAAGAAACCGCAGCGAACGTGACCAGGATCTCGACCGAATCTTCTCAGAACTTTCGCCTATTATCTCCTGAAAACGCTAAAAACGCGTCTCAATTTGCGGAACTGATAAAATTTCACGCCGACGAACACCTGACGTCAAGTCAAGGGGACTCGTCACACCTTACGAAGCAACAAGACATCGTTCAAACTGGTCGTCATCTGTCTGCGAACACGTACGGTCAAACGACCGCTTCAACAATCAACAACAAGGCGGGAGCAGCGTTGAACACTTTCCTAAATTCAAAAACGCCGGAGGAATCACGTCTGTCTCTGGACTACTACTTACAAAGCAGAGAAACCTCGGGGAATGCTCAACCGGCGGTCGCTAATCAACAGCAATTAACGCAACAGCCAGTAATGCGAGTTAATCAGCAGCCCGTGTCTTCTCCGGTGAACCAACACTTGACTGCGCAACTCATGCAACAAAGACAGGCGTTGCAGGCTTTTCCAACTAGACAAGTGGTTAATCAACCGACCTACAGTGTGCCTGCGAATCTGGCTGATCCTCGTCCGACTGTGTCAAATCCGGCGGCCGTATCTTTGATGCAGCAACAGCAAACGTTGCAATTACCGTACGCGCCTGGAATTCAAACGAGAAACGACGTTTATTATCCTGGATGGTACCAACGTGTAAGAAGAGTGCGAGGGAAACCGTTTCCTTACGCGCAATCGAGGATCGGGCCAGGATTCTACGCCGGTCCTGTTCCTCCAGGTGAGACACTACGGATGCTCGTAAGCTGAAGAATTAATTAAGAGAGAAACTAATAAGAGTAAGTTACGCATGAGGTTTATTCAAAGTCTTATCGAATCTCCTAATTAGCTGGAGATGCATCAACCGTCACATGGGTGGTGAAACAGATTTAGCAATCTGTACAGAATTGCATTGCACCTTCTCGGAGAGACTGCATCTTTCAGGGGAAGCTTCTTTTTAACAATTCGTATTGTTAAAAAAAAGAGCGTTAATTAGGAGATTTGTGAGAGTTGTGTTTCGTCCAGTTGCTGTAATTGATAAGTTCTACTCGAGATAAAGGTCCACTCTAATTAGGAAACTAACATCGATATCGATTCTCTCGAGCAGCGCCGTTCAAGGAGAAAGGCCCACCCGTCGAAGTAATTTACACGAAGCCGCCAGGATTTCATCGCGGGCCATTCCCTGTGAAAAGCAATCCTCCTGTTCCGTACGAAGACGCCAGTGCTTGGTTTCCCGAAGCTGATCAACCACCGTCAGCCAAAGACGTCTACTATTCTCAAATATACGCTCAATCGTACGACCCTTATTATTACAACTACATCGCCAAAACGGGGAAGATAAAGCCTCATCTGTACGGGAAATTGGGTAAGTATCACGAGGACGAGGAGGACGGGATCTGGGCGGAATTGTATCGAGGATTCAAGAAACACGGCCTCAAGAATATCATGACGCCGACGTTTCTGTTGGGAATGACTCTTCCAGTGGTCACTCTGATGCTTACGGCTCTCGTACAGAAGAGATCTATGTCCAGATCGGACTCGAGAGAACTCCCAACGGAGAGCACGATTCAGGATTATTTAGAGCAAATCCAGAGAGCCGTGGAATGTTACGAGAGGAAAAGAAGGAAGAGAGATGCGAACGTAGACGAATGTTAGAATTGATCCTATTGATTTAGTGAATGTGGATATTGAAATGGGCAACGGGAAGGATGTCTAGAAGTTTTGTACATATTTCGTGTAATATAATAACGAAAGAAATGCTCGTAGAATTGTATAGGACAGAAAGTGCTTTCTCTCAGTAGAAAATGAGAGTGATGCTTCTCTCAGTAGAAAAATCTCTGTCTAGATGGTACTTTATTGATGTATAAAATGGAGAAGGTGACAGTGAAACGTTTCTCGTGACGAGAGTAGCTAACGTGAGAAGCCAACTTTTGCGGGTCAATTATCTACGACCCTGTTCGCATCTACGTGGGTGCGCAACTCGCTGATAGTAAGATTAATTACCAACCAACCAACGATACCGAGTTACTTTTACTTTTCTAATAAACTTGCTCGACCACACGAGGATTCGTAGTAGCGGCTTCGATTATAAACGACGAGATTGGGAAATACAAAAAACGTTGAAGCTTGATTATACAGTATTTAATTTCTTAAGACACAATTCCTTTGTTATCGCACTTTAAATGCCGTTTCTCCTTTAAGTAGGGAAAGGCTTTTGAATTGGTAATGTTCGACCTATATTTGAGTTATGAGTGAGAACGTGCGTTGAATCTCAAATTAGAAATAACATTCGTGATTTTATTGCACTGAGGTGCATGCATCATGACACAGAAATGAATAACCGGTTTGACCATTTATAGGTGTGCCCAGCAAAGTGTCACGCATAGATTTCGTTGAAATTTTGAGTGAAGATCTAGAAAAATTGTGACTGAGTATTGCTTCTGAGTATTTTATTTAATTAATAAATAATTAAAAGCATCAGTATCACGATTCTAACTTTCTTTATATTTTCTATTCTAAGTTATTAAGTAATGTAGGAAAGGGAACAAAAAATTCATTAAAAAAATCAGTGCATTACACTTTGTATGATCCCCTTACTAGTAGCTTTAATCGTCAGTTTTGACTCTACAACTTGTTCCGTAAAGTGGACCAATAAACACATCAAGTTTCCATCATCTATCTCATACCAAGTAATTATTTATTTCAAGTCATATCAATGTAAATTTATTCAAATATTTTCATTTTGTTGCAATTTTTTTGCAACTCTGTTCACGCGCTTATGTAACTCGAATATACGATGTTGATTAGAGTAACACGACGATAAGGTCAATTACGATAACTAGACCATTAATAAAGTTGTAAATTAAGATTCATATTCAATGAAACGACTCGTTTGCAGTCCAAGAAAAATTTCGCGTAAAACTCATCCCGATGAAATCTCGGTCAATTTTCTCGTCAGCCGGAAATGTGTAAATGTACACAGAACCGTGCTACTTAGCTCGTTAAATTTTACTAACACGAATGCTAGTAGGATGTATTTTTAGTCCAAAAAGACGAGACAGCCGACAGATCTTTGGATGACACTGAAATAACAGACATACTTGTTCGAAACCGGTTTTTCTGCCGTCAACTTGCACTCTAAACACAGGAAGTCCACTAATGATTTCACTGGGACTTTTTCGTCGTTAAATAATCGAAAATTATTCCGTACCAACAGATTTACATTGTAAATGTCAATCGTAATTACTGGAACTAGGAAATGTATGCGTTTAAATAAACATCATTGTACTAGTGATAGATCTTCAAACGTGAAAATCAATTTATTCCTCGTGGACACCGACCAATCGGTAATGTAATTGAATTATTTCATCAAACGATTGATGGTGTAATTCGTGGGTCATGAGACCCAGACGTCTTGCACGTTCCACCATAATCAGAAGCAATGATTAATTTCGATTCAATTTTCTGCATACCATCTAGAAAAAAAAAGAGCATTATTCAATGTGCACCGTTAACAATTGTTGCAGTGTGTTCTTTCGTTACTTACCGATATTCCGTTGGGAAAGCAGAGAAAGTAAGCATACGAAGAATGGTAACGCGAGGGGAAACACTTTCATCCGATAAAATTCCAGCGTAAAATTGCATTGTTAGTCACAACAAGATCGGTGATTTATTAACGAAAAATATATCATATATTTTGTTGCATCTAATTTCTACAATTACAACTTGCGATAGGCAAAACCATATCTTTTTTTTTCCTGTTTACAGGATATATGACGTAATTCCTTTTATTTCGACAAATCATATAAACCGCTTTCGATACGAAAATATAATCATTAAAATGAATGTTAATTCCAGCAATAATTTAAATATTATTAAAATAATGTAATATAAATAATAATGTAATAGAAATCGATCATCGTCGGTCGGTTGTTCGTGACTTAAAAATCGAAAGAAGAAAATATACAATTCGCGTGCGATAGAAGAAAATATAGGTTCAATGAACGCTTCGTTCACTTAAATGGACTAGACTAAAAGATTCGTGTCAAACAATTAATAGGTTTGGAAAATTTTTATGCGTTCCTCGTATATTTTATCTTCTACATGACATGCGATTTTCAAAAATGACGTTCGAAAAGAAAACAAACTTCTCGACGACACTTTCTTTTCAGAAGAAAGATTTTTAAAATTATTTGTTGGCGTGCTCTGTGACTTTTATAGGGCATAGAAATAAAAAAAATATAGAGTAATGGTATTTATGAAAGCAGGTTGTAATTGGGCCTATAAAAGTCACAGCTTTTTTTGTGGATAAGGCTCTTATAAAATGTAACTAATTCTTGTAATTAAAAAACAACATAATTCTGTATTGCTTTCTTGCAACACTCTACATATTATGTATATATAACTGTATATAATTGCCCTTCATTATCTACAGCATTATTAATTTCGCAGAGTGTTGATCCTTCCGTACAATTTGAAAAAATCATGATTCCTTTCCTTTTTCTTTCGACAACGATAAAACAAATAATTCGTCAACATTAAAATAAATTATAAATTGGCTCCAGCAGATAATCGTCGATTGCAATTTATGTAGGTGATCAGTCTTCGTCTCAATAGACGTCCCAATATATTATTTTTCTTTTTTCTTTCTATATAATCTTTCTGTATAATCTATTTGTTCCATTTCTATGATGCATGATCAGCTGAGCCAAGTACTTATATACAATGTGCGTTTATAACATTTCTTATAACTTATTTGATGCACATTGTTACAACATTTGTGGTCTTTTCTTTTGGAACTATTATATATGTGTGTATATAATGATCGACGTGAAATTGATTAGTAATTTGGTAAACTAATCCTTTTCATATTGTGGATCGCTATTGCTACGATTATGTACGATGTAATTGTTTCGTAGGACTAGACAAGGTTCTGTGTACAAAGGTATTCGCTAGTGAATGCTAAACAGAACAGTGTTAAATAGACTATATATCGCTAGATTACAATTTTTCTTTGATTAAAACAACAGCATATTGCATTGAGGTTTTCCTTTTCTCTTTTCTCATTAATTTTATAAAACGCGATTAAGCGGTTTTATGCATTTAAGCCTATTAGAAAAAAAACGGCTGTTTTCGGCTGTTTCCAGAATAAATATGTTTCAGAATAAAATCAAACGGGATCATTACAGATGATACATTAAACAAATTTCATTATTATATTATACAATCATCAACATGATTAAGAATCGAACTAAAAATTGTTATGTATTGTATATGATTTTTTGATATATAAGTGTAAATATAGATATAACGAAAATTTTTCTAAATAATATACTTGTATAACATAAATAACAAAAACTTCAAATATACATAAAAATTTATATAGATTGAAAGACTACTTCAGCTATAATTAATATTTCTAATGTACAAAATTACTGTCTGTAAATATCACTGACTCGCAATAATAAATAAAAACTTTTTAAATAATTAGCATGTGAAAGAATTTCTTTCTTCTCTTAGATAAAATTATAAATAAAAATGTCGAAAATGATTTAAAAACCTCCAAATAAAATATCATGCCTATGCAATCAGCCTTTGCTTCTTGAACGTCTTTGTCTTAAAAAAAAAAGGCTAACGAAATTAACATAATACTTACATTAGCGAAGATATATCTAATTTCTTATGTCTTGTTTCTTCTTAATCAATATTAGGATAGAATCTTCTTATTCAACACTCCAAGTCTAAAAATACGTTCTATACATATTTAATTCAGTCGAATTTTTCTTCTTTAAACGCAACTTTAATAGCTTCGCCAACATGTTCTACTACGAATGCAGGCTTGCATAGACCATCCTCGACGGGTAAAAAGTCTCTAGGACTATGCTCCGATATAAAATCCGAATCTCGTTTGTGGACACCAGTTTCAACTAAAATACTAATACAGGCTTTCGCGCTAGGCGGATTGATATCCTTGTCAAGTAATTTCTTCAATTTGTCAGCCTTTAATACTTGTTTTTTTGCGCAATATGCCAGATATTTATCATACAAGTTTGCACCAAAAATATCAGTATTAATATTATCTCTGTAAAATATGTATTAACTTATAATTTTAATTTTGAGAATTGTGTTAATTTATTAATATCTTTAAATGATTAATTACCCAATAGCATATATAGTATCAACATTATGATCTATTCCAATACTTCTAGCATGCTTACGAAGCACATGATTTGCATGATAGTATGTAATTTCACTAGGTTTTCCGACTAGAGCAGAATATATCAAATCTTTTCCTGTAATCTTTTTATATAAAGATTCTAGGCATAATAGAAAAGCACCATGACCATATCTAGGAATTGGTGCTTCTGATACCCATAATAAATCCATGTTACATGCCAAAACCGGAATGTGCGGATATGGAATATCGCCGGGTAAACCAGCAGGCATGCCATTAGTCATTAAAACATCTACCATTAGTTGCAATGAAGTTTCCCAAGAAATTGGTTCGCTAAATAATACAATGCCTTCTATTGTAGGGAACTTTGGATCTACAGGACCACATAGCGGGTTCCTCCTCTCCATATTTACATAATCTAAAGAGGGGAAATTTTTCACTAATTCTTGAATAGTTACTGTTTTTTGGAAACCCAATTCTTTAGCTATCTCTCTGATCGGGCCTTGTCCAGATATTAATACTTGTTTATTATGAAACTGTTGAAATAACTTTAACGGTGAATGAGCCATGACAACTTGTGATTCTTTCACTTCAATCCCTATCCATTTAGATAAATCTGCTGCCTTTTGACTACGCAGTGCATTTCCACTGTTAGTGACGAACACAGTTGGTATACGAAATTTGCCATCTTTGTCCTGAAGTTGTTTAAAAGCCTCTGATACTGGTGGTAATACATTTTTGCCACGTACTATTACACCATCAATGTCAAAGAGCAAGCCAAATTTTGGTTTAGAACTTAAATGCTGAAAATAAAAAAAAACATAATTTTTAAATATAATTGTGAAATAAAGAAACATCGTTAATATTCTAATTAATGTATAACTTCATTATAAATAAAACTATTGTTCTTTAAATGATTTATAAAGGGTTCTGCATCCTACTTCATATTTTTGGAGCAAGATATTAAAACAACTGTATGGTAAGACCTTGAAGATATAAAAATATACTTGTCATGTTACGAATGCTATGCAGTATATTTTTATACTAATACATAATGCAATGTTTAGTAAATTTCGCATCATTCATCTCAACTGACATAATTACAATGCAAAATTAATTTTTCTATAATATCGAAAAAAAAGTTATATATACGTAAAGTATATTTTAAATTCTTAAATTAGAATAATAATAACACCTAATTCATTAACGATTTAACAGAAGAATTATACATTTGAAAATTCAAATTTTTGAATTAAAAAAACGATTTGTTTTAAATTAGTATCTTTTAAACAGTATTTGACAGCGAAAAGAAAAAAGTAAAGAATACAATTAACAATGGACGAATATCTTACGGTATAGTGGAACGAATCAATTAATTAATTATTATTATTATTATACTTTCAATCTGCATTTAAACGAATTAATCTGCGTCATAAACAAAAGAAGGCATGTATGTCGAATCCACTTTGAAATACGGTAACTAGATTCGAATGTAACAATGGCGTATGAAATGTAACTCACTCTGACCCCTGTGAACCTTGCAATGTCTGGTCGTAACAATATCTTCATAATAGCCATTTTGACAGTGGAAAATGTAAATAATGATACGGCGATAATATTTTCGAATTACACTACGTTTAAAAGCTACCTCTCGTAGATTGATTATGCATAATGCAACGTTTTGAGGTTATAGTGACCTACAGATCGCACAGTAGATTTGATCGTGTTTTTCTCACGTGCCGTAAGAGGACACAGTACATACTGTATAATACAACGAACATTGTTATCGCGCGCGATACATAATGCCCTTTGTTTTTGTCACAAACTTCTGCTGATCAATTGGAGGAAGAGTTGATCTAGATAAATCTCTAGATAAATGCTTGACCATCTGTACAAGTATCTCAGATGGAGTTCAATTAATTAAGATGAAAAGTAAATTCGATTTGAAATTTACTATCTGTAGCAATAGCAGAAAAATGACAGTGTATGTAACTTTCCATATAGGATTTTTGAATTTTGTATACAGAAATCTATTCGGTTCTTCGTTACAAAATTTCCTTGTACTAATTGTTGACTTTTATGACTTATTGATCAACTATTGTACGTATGTTTCATGAGAAATACGCACAGAGTTTGGTCATCTTGATTAGAACTATAATCATTGACTAACTAAAATAGAATTATAACCATTAACTAATTAGAATAAATTGGATAACTAATGCTTTTCCGTATCCCACTTTTTGGGGGTCACCTGATCCCTGTCGTCATATTCTATCATATCGATTTAAGTATACCTTGTCTGTGCTGTGGTAGAGTGCGCTGAAAAACTAGTGATTTTTTTCCTGGTCGGTATTTCAGGCATGAAGTCCCATTTCATGTCTAATCTATTCTATTTTTAGTTAATGCTGTAACTATCAGAAAAGTAGATAAATGGTTGGATAACCTGTATCTCCAGCGTAGAAAAATTTTTAATAGCATTCTTTTGACGTATTTCTTTTTATATTTCCATCGAGTCAAAATGTTTATAAAAGCATTTAAAGTAAAGTCCAACAATCAATTGAAAGGGACAGAAAGGTCAGTATAATCTAATTTATATTTACGACGGGTATTAATGAATTATATATATGTATATATATATGTATGTGTGTATTAATGATTTTGATACTGTTGTAACCAGGAAAAAATTATGTGAGGAAATTTTAGCAGCGTATCCAACGCTGACGGATGACGAAACACAGTCATTGATTCCCAAGAAAGAAGCGATAAGTGTTATGAAAATTATGACTCATAGTGGTCATTCAGGAAAAGTGTATTGTGTCGCTAAAGTACCCATGTTTTTCCAACTTGAGTCCTTACATCAGGCATTGTTACCTACCATATTCACTTTATGGCACTATCCGAACTTATTAAGGACTTTTACAACATATGCTCCAGTTATATCAAAATTAGCTAGTGGTGCAGACTTGATGTTGCCTGGAGTCATTGTCAAAGAGCCTATAACATTGTATTCTTTTGGCAAATTACAGAAGGGTACACCTGTTTCAATAAATACAGATGATAATCAGGTACATTGTTACATAAGTTTATTTTTATTCCAACACAGTTATAAAATTATAATTGTACTTATTAATGTTTTCCTAATCAGGCACCAGTTGCTGTTGGCTTTACTGCTCTCTGCAGTGAAAACATGTACATGTCTGGAGGACATGGAAAATGCGTAGAAATTGTACATGTTACAGGTGATACACTTTGTCAATTAGGAAAGCCTCCTGTAAGACCAAATTTAGGACCACCAAATGTTGATACAGATAATGATAAATTAAAAAATCTAAATGATATAACTGAGCAGAATAATGATAATAATGAAGAATCGCTTATTGAAACAATTAATGATCTAGAAATAAATAACGATATAGTATCAGAAATTGAATCTCCATACGAGGAAGAAAATAAAATAGAAGAATCTGTTGAGATGGCTGCTGATCGAGCAATTGAAAAAGCAGCTGTAGATCCAATAAAAGAAATGGATAGTTTGTTAGAATACTGCTTTTTAAAAGTTTGCAAAACTTCAATAAAGTCTAGTGATTTACCAATGTTGACATCCAATTTTTTTAAAAATCATTTAATAGCTGCGTGTCCACCGGATAAAAACATAGATATAAAAAAATCTCGGTATAAAAAATTATCATTGTTTTTAGCAGAAATGAAAGCAAAAGATGTTGTTAATACCTCAATAACAAAAGGTGTTGAAAGTATATTATCAATTAAGGTAAGATTTCTCAATGAACTTATTAAGCAGGCAAAAATAATTTCAATATAATTGTTAATGTATATTATTTTGCAGTTTGATCATCCTCTCATAAAAGGACTAATTATTGCTGAGGAACCAACACCAATTCAGGAACCAATTATTTCTAATGCGGCAGTTGTCTCTGAATGTTATAAAGTAACAGCCGATGTTTTACCAGTATTATCGAAATTCGGATATGAGTGAGTATAGCGCCACGCTCGGGATGTGTCACAATACCGCGATACAATAATTGCAAAAAGAATGATTTTCTGTACAGAGCAGAAGTCGACAACTGTTACATCATATACCATTATGCTGTATTATATAATACGAATTATATACATTTTACTCCCATACAATGATTGCAGAAAAGGGGACATTATGAAAAGAGCTGAAATCAGAAAATGTTTTACTGAATACATGAAAGCAGAGAATCTTCAAGACGGAAAGTAAGCAATTCTTAATTGAGTGTTTACTATTTATTACGATTTCGTGCAATCATTTAATTCGATTTATTTATAGGATACTGAAATTAAACCCGCAACTCGCAGGTATTATGAAAACCAAAGCAAATGTGAAAACTGTATCGATAGAAGATGGGATAAACAAGTTTATTGGACGCATGACGCATATGCACGAAGTTACTTTAGCAGGAAACAAACTATTACACACAGGCAAATTGGAACCTATCGATATGAGAGTCACCGTTCGATCCGGTGGTAAAAAGGTATAGTATTTAATTTCCTAATTTAGAACGCATACAAAATTTAATTAGTATGTATATTACAGATTACACTAGTAAACAATTTAGAAACATTTGGTATAAATGCTAAAGAGTTCAGCAAGGAATGTCAGAGCATCGGAGCGAGTGCAACGATTACAGATGAACCAGGAAAAAAAACTCCAAGCGTTTTAGTTCAAGGAAATCAGATTTTGTACATATACAAATTACTTACGGGTAAATAACGAATTAATGTTTTATAAGATATAAACATTTATATGTTTGATTTATATAAATATTGATTTTTCAGAAAAATATCAAATTAAAAAGAATTACATAAGGGGATTAGAATTCGCTCCAAAGAAGCAAGGTTCTCATAAAAAATAGGCAGTCTTTAAAAAGTTACCATATAACATACGTAGCATTATGTGAAATTTTATGTCGACATACATCAATTTCTATTTTATTTTCAATTCCAATACTTCCTTGTGCCAGGATTAAATTTTTATCATTTAAGGATCTCTTTACTATTCAAAAGACTGTATGATAGCTTTCATGACATAATGAGATTACAAAATTAATAATGCACGACAGTATCAATATCTGAATAACTATATTAAAGAACGTAGAATACATCTGATTTTAGATATTACTAAATTAATCCGTATCAATTAATCCCATCATACTTGATATTCTAATTTAGGATTTCCTTATAACATAGAGAATACTATAATTCCAAATATATACTGCTCAGTATATATTTTTCTTTTTAGAAATATCTTTCATTAATATGTATATATCTTTTAGTAGTAAATATCTTTCATTAAATGCTACACTAATTTATTAATAGTGAATATTAAATACACAAAAACACCTCATGAATTGTACTTTGACTTGTGAATAAACGAATTCGCAATGAAACGTAGCTATTTACTTGTCCTTGATTTTTGATAATAAAAACACGATGAAAGGATGTTGATAACCAGTTTAAAAGAAAATCGAGAATCGAAGTTTGTTAATATAATTTATTGTATATCGAGGTTTCAACATGGAAAAGTACAAATATTGCAATATAGGGCCCGCGAGCTCTCCTCGGGTGGGAGGGAGGGAGGGAGGAGGGTATGATTCACAGGAAGGAGAGACAATGCACGTGTAGGATATCTCAAGAATTTTTTTCTTTTTCACTTGCTTTGACGAAAATGTGCTTACTATGCACCAAAACCGAGGATATGAGGTATACATATGCAGATCTTATGTATTTCCGCTGTATTTTTTCTTTCGCTTACCTGACAGGGAAAAGTCAGCGGGTTGACAAGCAATCCACTGAAATTTCGTTTGAATAAAGGAAGGTTCCCTCCTCTCCACGGCCCCCGCATATATTTAATACTCATTTTGTTCTTTTTTTTTTCTGCTAGCAGTACGCACGGGCGCGTTACGATTACGATCCGCGACGCGCACGTGCGTGTCGTGACAGTTATTACTCTCCTTTTTTTATCATCATCATTACCATCATCATCATCATCATCATCATCATCATCATCATCATCATCATCATCA